GTTCAGATATTTGGATCTGCTCTTAAGTCTGTACAGCAGGCATACCCATGCCCTTTTGGAGCATCCAAAATCTGGAGTGCAAGTATCCAGGTCTTATCTTTTTTCTCTTCCTTCATTAGCTGATGGATTTTTCCCTGGTGTAAAACCAATTTTTAAAAGAGGAGTTCCTCTGCTGCCACCTGTCCTATGGTGTACCTGTCTGCCCATAGCATGTCTGCCTTTGATTCCCTCTCCCTGACAGCTGCAATGCACCTTCCAGCATCTTCCTCCCCAGTAGGTGGTCCCCTCCCAGTGGCTACAGGGCTCCTGTGTTTTTCATCCCCGCTCTCACCTCCCTTGCTTTTCTAGTGTCATTGTACATTTAGCCATATCTGCTGGCTTCCCACTTCCCGCTGTTGCTTTGTGTGCTCTTGCAACAGTATGAAAGTTGGGTGTATCCACTTCAGAGGTTGAGACTCTAGCCTGTTTCAGTGCCTGGGGGCAGGGTAATGAGTAGGGGAGTGTGTCAGTTGGGAGGATGGCAGGCAGTGAGCTTCCAGCCTAGAGTGCTGTGCGTGACATTGCCAGGGGTTGCCATAACATCAGCAAATCTGGTGACGGAGAGAATTAAGTATTTCACAGTGGAGCCATCTCCTGCTGTGCATCCTATTGTTCCCTTGTGAGTGCTGGATGAAATGTTGTTTCCAGAGGCCTCAGCTGTGTTGTGTGGAGTTTCTGGCTTCCTCTGAGCATGTGGCTTCCCTTAACTGTTCTGCTCAGATAAGAATGGGATGATCAAACTTTTAGCATGTAGCTTTCTTTTTGGTCGGGACACATCTGTTTCCAGGGGCTCTGCTTTTAATCACTGTATCCAGTTCCAGGGGCATGAAAGAGCAGAAAGAACTGCTGTCCTGCTGGTACCTCCTAGGATGGCAGGGCAGCTTCTGTCATCAGGGTGAGCTGCCATTGAAAGTTTTGCCTGTTGTGCTATCAGTCCAGGCAGTGTGAAAGTAGTTGCACAGTGCTACCTGATTAAAACTTGTGGCTTGTCCCCATTTGTGATGACATGGGTGGCTCAATAGCACAAGGTGAAGCATGGTGTTAAATCTAGCCTGGTGAAGGTAAGATTGTCCTGTGAAAGGTGGTGGGTGCTGGGCCTAATTGATAGGGGCTTGGTATTTGTGGGAGGAGAAGGGGACTTTTTGTCCCAGGTACCTCTGTTTTAGCACAGGCTTTAGTCTGAATTACAGGTGACCCAGGTTCAAGTGAAGTGTCAACAAAGGATCTAAGAGAAGAGGGCCATGTAGGGAGCCGCTATTTTAATACCTTTGTTCCATTCTCGACCAAACTGTTTTGAATTCTTGTCATGGAAGCCAAGTGGAAAGGCTGATGTTTGTTGCTTTTTTTTTGTTGCAGATGGACCTCCCATTTCTGGAAAGGTAAATAACTTTAATTTTGCTGGAGCTGCAAGAATCTTTCTTTTCCTTTTTAAACTTGGTTTGGTGTCTACAACTATACATCCAGACATGATCTGGATCATAACCAGAGAGGATTCACTTTTACTCTTCCAAAACTACTATATCAGGAGGTTAGTAATGGAGCCCCTTGTCTCAAGCTGTCCTAAGGGAATCCAGCCCAAGTTGGTTGCATTCAATTTGTCAACATCAGTATGATTTCCAGGAGGCCATGTATCGCATCACAAAAGTCATCCTTTCCATTGGCCACAGTGTTGGCAGTCTCCTTCAAGAGGCTAAGCTTGTTTAGGCCAGGGGTGTCAAAGATGAGGCCCACAGGCCGGATTCTTTTCATGGTGCCCCAGTGTCTGGCCTGGTGCTGTCTCAGGGTCTGAGGACCCAAACACCACTGGACTATAGCCCTATGCTCAGCACCCAGGAATGC